TGGCATCACCAGCCCCTGGCTGCAGAAGGTGAGGGAAGGAAGGTGGCTGTGAGGACAGAAGAGTCACAGAGGGCTTCATTCAAGAGGTGGTCCCAATGCAAAGGAACCACTGTAGGCATGACTTCCCTCCTTCCCTCTCACCCAGCCTCCAGGACAGCATCAGGGAAAGGACCCGGAGGGGGGCGGGTGACCAGCCAACAGACCCCCCACTTCTGCAGAAGCACCAGCACCTCCAGCCACCCATTCTGGGAGTGGGTCAGTCTTACATTTTGGAAAAGCAAAGACTGTTAAGTTCTCTTCTGGAAGCAGCCAGGCCAGTCTTGAGAGTGGATAGGGCATCCTCTCTTGCCTGATTTTTCAGGCCATGACAGAGCTTACCCTCTGTGAACTGAGGGGGGGAGGGAGGGGTGTTGACTCGTCTCCCCATGATGTGTGGGGGCCAGCCCTGTGGATGGTGAGGGTGACGAGGGTGGGTAGGTAGGCCTGCCTTCTTAGTCCCCCTTTGCCTCCCCTCCTCTTTCTCCACCTGCCAACCACAGCGGCAGCTCGCCAACTACAACTTTGACTTTAAGAGCTGGCCAGTCGACTTCCACTGGGAAGAGCCCAGCAGCCGGTGAGGTCCCAGTTCTTTCACTCCCTCCCTGCTCTGTCCTGTCCCTCACCTCCAGCCCCACCTTGGGCCCCAGGGCCTGCTCTCCAGTGCCATCTCCTCATTCCTAGACCCCCCTGTCCTCTGAGCCTCAGATGTCCAGCTTGCTGCTCCTAACTCCATCCTTCCCTGCATCTTTCCATCCTCAGGAAGGAGTCTCGAGGGGGCCCTTCCCGCCAAGGTGTGGCCCTACTTCGCTCAGAGCCCCTGCACCGGGGGACAGCAGACACCCTCCTCAACCGGGTCAAGAAGCTGCCTTGTCAGATAACCAGGTGGGAAGCAACAGGGAGAGAGGCCTGCTGGGGTGGAGGGGATATGGAGCGAGGACTCCAGGACTGGGTGCTCCATTGTAAGATAGCTGTCCTTTATTGGGCCTCGTGCTGTAGACTTGATATTGTTTGTGATTAGAATTTAGATTTGTATGTGAAGAAAAGAGGTTCAGAGAGGTCCAGTCTCACAGATGGTGAATGAAGGATTGGGATATTAACACGATTCTATCTGACACAAAAGCTCTTTCATTTTGTTATTTCTTAAGTTTATTTATTTGAGTAACTCTACACCCAACATGGGCCTTGAACTCACGACCCCGAGAGCAAGAGTCACATGTTCTACCAACTGAGCCAGCCAGGCGCCCCACAAAAGCTCTTTTAATGAGGCTGGAGGGAAGAATGAGGTTGGGGGTGTGGTGGAGACACATAGCCTTAGCCAGAGTAGCTGTGTCCCTGTCCTGGGCCCTCAGCGCCTAGGCTATTCTACCTTAAGCGAGCTACAATTTCTGCATCCGTGAATAACCCACCTCGTTGGAGTGGTGAGATTAAGTAGGGTAACGTATTCACAAGGGCTTCCGCCTTGCCTGGGTGCCTGAGAGCACATGGCAAAGCCCAAGTAAATCATAGTTGTGGACACTGATGATGTCCAGAGTAACAGCAGTAAGCATCCGTATCTTACCGTGGCACAGATGCTGTGGGAATTCTCTGGTGCTGGGGGCTGGGAGGCAGGTTCCGGGGTACCAAGGAAAGGGGAGGGCTTAGTGATCAGTGTGGACAGTGTGCTGATTGGTCAGAGGGGCAAGCCAAATTTGCGGTTTGGAGGGGATGCTGGACGGAGTGGTACAGTGTTTTTCTGGGGACAAATCCTATTTCAGGATTAACTGGAAATGGTTAATTGTCGTTTTCAGGAACAGCACCTACCTATCTGTCGAGATTAGCACATTGGTTCAGTAAATATTTAAGCCCCTACTCTGTGTCAGGCCGTGGCCACCTGCTACATGGCAGATACAGGGCATATTGCAGTGAATAGAACAGTCAGGTCTCTGCCCCTGTGGAGTCTGCAGTCTAGTTTGGTGTCTTTCAAACTATGGATTTTGGAGTGCCTGAGTGGCTCAGTCGGTTGGGCAAACAACTCTTTGATTTTAGCTCAGGTCATGATCTCAGGGTTGTGGGATTGGCCCTGCGTCTAGCGCCATCCTCACTGGGGAGTCTACTTCCCTCTTCCCTCTGTCCCTCCCCCTGCTTATGCACACACACACACACACACACACACACTCTCTCTCTCTCTCTCTCTCTCTTTCTCAAATAAATAAATAAATCTTAAAACAAAAACCAAACTATGGATCTTGACCTATTTGTGAATCTTAAAATCAACTGAGTGAATTACAGCTGTCATTTTTTAAAAAGTATTATTTACTTGGGGACTTTTAAGAAGCTGCATTTTTTAAGTTTATTTATTTGAGAGAGAGAGAGCGTGCATGCGCGCACAGTTACACGCAGGGGTGGGGTGGGGTGGGGTGGGGTGGGGTGGGGTGGAGGAGGGGCAAAGGGAGAAAGAATCTTAACCAGACTCTGTGCTGAGCCCGGAGCCACACGCATGGCATGATGTCACGACCCTGAGATCATGAGCTGAGCCAAAACCAAGAGTTGGACGCTTAACCGACTGAGCCACCCAGGTGCCCCTAAGTTGTATTTATACATTAAGAGAATCATAGTTAATAATAACTTTGCTTTTACTTGTCATATACAGAAAATATTATCTCCTAAAATTTTCAGTATCTGTACAGATGTGTGTACTGGGCCGCAATATAAAATGTGCCCCTTATAAAGGTTGTAGTAAAAAAAAAAGTTTGAAAAATACCAGCTGGGTATATAGAATATTTCATTAAGTCCTTCAAAAGGAAAACAAACCTGTAAAGGTCAAGAAAACAAAACTGAAGTTCAGGAGTGAAGCAGGCCCCAGCGTCTCTGGGTGCTAGGGCTGGGGTGGTCCCTGGGCCCTCCTGAGGTCAAGGTTTGGTTAACCCCCGTGTTCCCCGCAGCTACTTGGTGGCACGCACCCTGGGGCGCCGGATGCTGTACCCTGGCTCAGTGTACCTGCTCCAGAAGGCCCTCATGCCTGTGCTGCTGCAGGGCCAGGCCCGGCTGGTGGAAGAGGTGAGGCGCCCCCGCACCCCCCCCGCCCCAATGCGCCTTCTCCCCCCGCCAGGGACGTGACCTCCCACCCCTCACATCTCCCTCACTCAGTGTAACGGGCGCCGGGCGAAGCTGCTGGCCTGTGATGGCAACGAGATTGACACCATGTTTGTAGACCGGCGGGGGACAGCAGAGCCCCAGGGACAGAAGCTGGTGAGAAGGGGCAGGGAGCCCAGAGGCAGTTGGGGGCCAGTGGAGGCTCTGGGGATCTCAAGGTCTCCAGCAGCCCCAAGGATAATGCCGTCTCCCAGCCCCACCCTCAAGACCTCTTGGTGTCAGAAAACCCTGCCATAGCAAAATGGAAGAAGTAGGAGTTGACATTCAAGGACCAGAAAGTAATCTTGTAACAGTCACTACTTAGGCATTATTTGTCACATAGAAGGCATGTATTTCATTCTCACCACAACCCTGTAGAATAGGAACTAATTTTTTATGTCAGCCCATTTTACAGAGGACGAAACTAAAGACCCAGGATAATTCTCCCAGATCACACAGTGAGAGAGCTGGGGTTTGAACCCGGGCAGTCTGGCCTCCCAAGTGGCCCGCCTCCGTGAAGCAGCCCTGGAAGGAGCCCTGAGCCAGCAGTCTAGGGAGCTGGCTTAGGGTCCTGGCTCTACCCAACTGCTGTGAGAGTCCATGCAAGCCCCGCCATCTCTGGGCTTCGGCATGGGGCACCATGTAATCGGAGTTCATCTGATTCTAAGTCTGGAGCCTAGAGATGGAAAGCGATTGGCATACCCCACAAAAGAAACAGTTGTGGGAAAAAATAGACCCAAAAACTAGAAAAGAAAAAAAGGATCCATAACCCCATTTCTGAGAGCTAGCTCCCTGCTGGTCTTCCGAGGAGAAGTGGACCCTGTGCTGGGTGGTTGAGCAGTTCCTCTTCCTCTGTGTGCTCAGTTTGCTAAGCATTTGCATCCACTGTGCTTCTCTTCTTATGCACCTTGTGGGTTGAGAAATTTTCATTCCCCTTGAAGAGAACAGGTCCTTTCCTCTTCCCTACAAAGCTCCCACGTCCTACCACATGGGGCATTTTCTGTCCCAACTTGGCTCCTTCCCAGCCCTCCTCCCTGCCTCCCTCCTTAGGTGATCTGCTGTGAGGGGAACGCGGGCTTCTATGAGGTGGGCTGCATTTCTACACCTCTGGAAGGTAGGCCCGACGCTCAGCTCTCTCGTCCCTGCCCTTTGGAATGGAACGGCCCCACCTTCCCACACTGATAGAACTTCCCTGGCCCGATCACCTTGTCTGAGTGAGGTTTAAAACTCTCACATCTGGGGGAAAGTGTACTCCCCATTTGCTTTGCTAACCGGACATCCCTCCCCTTGGGTTGTGTCCCTAACAGGATGGCCTTCATCCTGTCGCCACCAGGCGATTACTGAAACTCTGATGTCATCTCCCCATTCTGGGAAGGCTCGGTGTTATTCGCCTCTGAGTTTGGGGGTGTTTAGAGCTCCAGGGTTCTGTTGCTCTTTCCCCTAGGGCTGGAGGGGGCCCCGGGGCGGGGG